TTTATTTCTTAGTTGAGAGGTGGGTCTTTATGAAACAAATTCTTATGCAGAATGAGACAAAAGATTCTGACAGTATTTCAACATTATTAGTGTGTGTAACAGAGGCCTATTGTATATTTTATGTATACAGCCATACTACCTCAGTTTTCTTTTATTTGCTCCTCTTGAAAATATTTTTAAAGTATGTCTAGGAAGAGGGGCAATTGAGGCAATAAGGAAGGCACTAAATTGAAAAACAGTAAAAAGTGAAGGTCTCCCTAATTAATGGTGAAATCTTTAGCACCTTTTTCTGATCAGCTCTCCTGTAGCTATCAATGTGTTCTCTGGAAACTGGCCGAAGAAAACACTCACAGAAACTGAAAGGAATTGCCCAACAAAACAGTGTTGACCTACAGTTAAGTCTCCCACATGGAGCTTCTGATAACATTTTAGTATCTTTTCTTAAATATGGATGGACAGCAAAAGCCAACAGATATTAAGCGAAGCCTTTCACGTGAAAAAACAGAGACCAAAAACAAACATGTGAACCAAGAAAGGGATACAAAAGAAGCAGAGACCAATGTGATGACTGAAGAGAAATAAAAACAATAGAATAAGTAGCATCAACTGCCACAGAGAAGTAAAACCCAATCCTGTGACTTATTCCTTTCTGTATGTCCCTGGTTCTCAGATGTCTAAATTAAGTGCCTCCTTCTCATGGGCTCCAGACCTGCTTCCCAAAATCCTCTACTCTAGCATCTCCCAGTTCTTACCATCTCTTAGGCTGAACTTCCTTCCTTTCCTCATCTCTGCCTTAATGATGAACCTGTTTGCTTCCTGTAGTCCCTATTGCAGTAACTGAAAATAATCATCCCTACCTGTTAGAAATCTAGGACCACTACGGACCACGCATCTCCCACACCCCTCACATTCAGTCAGTGAGTCCTGTCAAATCTTCTTGGTGTAGAATACTGTGTATCCTGAGTTCCCAGACAACCCTCCTGTTCCTCATTCTTGGACACGAAGGGCAGCCAAGGGTCATTGGACATTTGAGGACAGAGTCTGTAGCACAAAATGGTGAACAAAAGTCGCCATACAAAAATTGCTCCTGAAAACTTTTTTTTTCTTTTTCTTTTTTTTTTTTTTTTAGAGAGACAGCAAGAGCGTGAGATTCCTCTCTGGTTCACTGACCAAATCACACCTTAGCCAGGAAGCCAAAGCCCTGAGCTAGAAACTCAGTCTAGGTCTTTCACATGGGTAGCAGGAGCCCAGCTACTGACCACCTGCTGCCTCCAAGGGTACACATTAGCATGAAGCTGGAATCAGGAGCTAATGCTAGTAATTAAACCTAGACATTGTGGCTCGCCCTGTGGCATAGCAGGTAAAGCTGCTGCCTGCAGTACCGGTATTCATATGGGAGCTGGTTCAAGTTCCAGCTGCTCCACTTCTGATCCAGCTCTCTGCTGTGGCCTGGGAAAGCAGTAGAAGCTGGCCCAAGTCCTTGGGCCCCTGTACCCGCATGGGAGACCAGGAAGAACTCCTGGCTCCTGGCTTTGGATCGGGCAGCTCCGGCTGTTGCAGCTAGTTGGGGAGTGAACCAGTGAATGGAGGACCTTTCCTTCTCTGTGTATGTAACTCTGACTTTCAAATAAATAAAATAAACCTTAAAGAAAAAAAAAACCTAGGCACTCCCATATGAAACAGGTATACCACCACTAGGCCAAATGCCTGCCGCCGATGTTAATTTTTAAAAACTCAATTAGTGGCTTCAGATTTGAGATGATACTGCAAATATAAATAAAATTAAAATACTGTGTAAAGAAACAGGAACAAGAAGGAACTTTTAGATGTTAAAAATAAGACTGCCAAACTAAAATAATTCTATAGAAAGGTTGAAAGATAAAGGAAAATTCCAGTAATGTAGAGGATAAAAAGACGCAAAGAAGGAAAATATGAAAGTAAAAGATAAGACATAAGTATCTAGGTCTAGCATTCTGCTGACAAGAATTCCAGAAAAAGAGAAGATAAAATGAAGAGGAAAAAACTATCAAAGAATAATAAATCCCCAAGAGTGGAAGATAATTAGTATTATTCAAAATTAATAAGATATTCTGGATGCTGAGCAGGATTTTTAAGGCAAATAAATGTAGATACATAGATATAGGTCATTATGAAATTTTAGAACAACAGAGAAGTTGCTAAAAGCCTCTGAAACTAAAAGTTTCAACCTACAAAGGAACATGGTCAGCAGTATCAAATGTCTGAACAAACAGCAACGTCTTCAAAGATTTGAAGAGAGACTAATGTTGTAGCGGAGTGTGTTAAGCCACCACTGGCAACACAAGCATCCGACTTTGGAGTGTTGATTGAGGTCCTCGCTGCCCCACTTCCTCTGCAGCTTCCAGCTAAATGTGCCTGAAAAGGCAGCGGAAATGGCACAAGGCACAAACTGAAGGATGGAGGATCGCCCTCGCTCTCTCTCTCTCTCTCTCTCTCCCTCTCCCTCTCTCCCCTCTCCCCCTCTCCCCCTCTCCCCCTCTCCCCCTCTCCCCCTCTCCCCCTCTCCCTCTCTCCACCTCCTCTATCTGATGCTCTGCCTTTTAAATAAATAAGTTTTTAAAATTTTTTAAAATGGATTTATTTGAAAGGTAGAGTGACGGGTCGGAAGAGAGAGAGAAAGAAAGAGAGAGAGAGAGAGGTCCTCCATCTACTGGTTTATTCCCCAAATGGCCACAACAGCCAGGGCTGAGCCAGGGTGAAGCCAGGAAACAGGAGCACCATCCAGGTCTCCCACATGGGTGCCAGGGGCCCAAGCACTTGGGAAATTTTTCCGCTGCCTTCCCAGGAACATCAGCAGGGAGCTGATTTGGAAGCAGAATAGCTGGAACTCCAAGCAGCCCTCAGATATGGGAAGCTGACATTGCATGGAGCAGCCCAAACCTCTGGACCACATTACCACATTGCCAGGCTCTTTTTCTTTCTTTTTTTTTTTTCTTTTTTTTTTTTTCTTTTTTTTTTTTTTTTGACAGGCAGAGTGGACAGTGAGAGAGAGAGACAGAGAGAAAGGGCTTCCTTTGACGTTGGTTCACCCTCCAATGGCCGCCACAGTGCGCTGTGGCTGGCGCACAGCACTGATCCGATGGCAGGAGCCAGGTGCTTCTCCTGGTCTCCCATGGGGTGCAGGGCCCAAGCACTTGGGCCATCCTCCACTGCACTCCCTGGCCCCAGCAGAGTGCTGGCCTGGAAGGGGGGCAACCGGGACAGAATCCGGCGTCCTGGGACTAGAACCCGGTGTGCCGGCGCCGCAAGGCGGAGGATTAGCCTAGTGAGCCGCGGCTCTGGCCTCATTTTTTTTTTTTTTTAAATAAAGATTTGAGGAGAATCAGGCAAAAACAACTCATTTCCAGACAGGAAGGCCTCAGGAAGTTTACCTCCCTTTTAAAATCAGCAGTTTAACTAGAAATACCAGATGGAATTTGTTTATGTTGCCAATTATTTGCTCATATTTTCAAAGTCTTTCTAGCTCTCTTTGCACTTTTATTGTATGGAATAGAACATTTACTTTAAGTGTTTGACTGTCTTTGCTACCTTTTAAAACAAAAGAAAGAAAAATAAGCTCCACCAGTCTGCTACACTCTCTGCTTTCCCCTGCCCTTTTAGACTTTCCCTCATGCACTATTTTAAAATCTTTGCCTTGTGGGTAATGATTTCATTCTTTATATTTTTATCTAAATTCTGGGACTTCCACGGCTATTTAGGTAACTTTCATGGTATACAAGAATGTATATATAAATAACAGCCATTCAGAACAAGAGTTTTGCGTTATTAGGGTGGAGGAGTGGGGGACAGCTTGTTCCCTGTGATTATACATAACACACACACACACACACACACACGCACACACACACACATGCGCGCGCGCCTAATTTTCCCTTCCCTCCTTCCTTCATTCCTTCCTCCTTTCTTTTTCCTTTCTTACTCTCTTTCATTTTTTGGAAATTATTTGTGTGGTGAGATAAAATTTACCATGTTAGGTATATAATTCAGTGGTTCACAATACTGTGCCACCATCACCGCTATTTCCGAATCATTACCCCAAAGGCTGCATAATCATTTGGTACCAAGTCCCCATTTCCCATTTCCCCCAGCCCTTGGTGACCTCTGATTTTTCTGTCTCTATGAATCTGCTGTATCTTTCTTATGTTGTACTACTAAGAAGTACAGATAAGATTCATTAGGAAAAATATCTCTTTATGATAGATGGTATTTTTCTATCATTATCTACAATATCTGTATTAGTTAACTATTGCTCCATAACAAATTGCTCCAAAATTTAGTGTCTTAAAACAACAATAGTAGGGCCGGTGCCATGGCTTGCTAGGCTAATCCTCCGCCTGCGGCGCCAGCACACCGGGTTCTAGTCCCGGTCGGGGCGCCGGATTCTGTCCCGGTTGCCCCTCTTCCAGGTCAGCTCTCTGCTGTGGCCCGGGAAGGCAGTGGAGGATGGCCCAAGTGCTTGGGCCCTGCACCCGCATGGGAGACCAGGAGGAAGCACCTGGCTCTCAGCTTCGGATAGGCGCAGTGCGCTGGCTGTAGCAGCCATTTGAGGGGTGAACCAACGGCAAAGGAAGACCTTTCTCTCTGTCTCTCTGTCTCTCTCTCTCTAACTCTGCCTGTAAAAAAACAAAAAACAAACAAACAACAAAAACACAATAGCCATATATTATTTATTTTGGCTTCTGTGGGTGCAGGATTCAATCAGGGGACAGCAAGGATGGTATGTCTGCTCCAAGATAAGTAGAGCCTTTCCTGGAAGACTCCCAGGCTCTGGTCCAGAAATATCTAAAGGCTTGTTCACTCTCATGATGCTGGCTGTCACCTAGGTCTTACTGTGGCTGGCAACTAGAATACCTATGGGACCTGGGCTTCCGCACATTATGGTGGCTAGATTCCAAAGGCAAACATTCCAAGAGAGTGACTTAGGGAGGGAGGGAGGGGAGAGAGAGAGAGAGAAACAGAGTTTCAGCTAAGTGGAAGCCATATTACCTTCAACAGCCTGGTCTGAGAAATCATCATTATCACTTCAACTTCATTCTGTTGGGTGGACAGTTAAAAAGATCCACCCAGGTTTATGGAAGAAGAGCATGGACTCCCACCTCCCTCAGTGGAGGTATGTCAGTGTCCCCTTATGAGAAGAGCATGAGAGATGGGTTTAGAACTGATGTGACTATCTTTGAAAATACCACAGTGTGTATCCAACATAGGTCCCAATTCAGCCCCTAGGAGGACAGATCTAAAATTAAGTTTTCATTTGCCTTAACTGGTAGTTGATCAACACCAGACATAGGTATCCTACTTCCTCTAATTAGGGAATTGAGATTTACACATTGGGAAAAAGATGAAAAAACATGAGATAATGATGTAACTGTTCTAAACAAAAAATATTTTTTGAAAACAAGGTAATTGTTAAAATGTGTCTGTTAATAGGCCGGCGCCGCAGCTCACTAGGCTAATCCTCCGCCTAGCGGCGCAGGCACACCGGGTTCTAGTCCCGGGGCGCCGGATTCTGTCCCGGTTGCCCCTCTTCCAGGCCAGCTCTCTGCTGTGGCCCGGGAGTGCAGTGGAGGATGGCCCAAGTGCTTGGGCCCTGCACCCCATGGGAGACCAGGAGAAGCACCTGGCTCCTGGCTCCTGCCATCGGATCAGCGCGGTGTGCCAGCCACAGCGCACTGTGGCGGCCATTGGAGGGTGAACCAACGGCAAAAGGAAGACCTTTCTCTCTGTCTCTCTCTCTCTCACTGTCCACTCTGCCTGTCAAAAAAAAAAAAAGAAAAAAAAAATGTGTCTGTTAAAGGAACTGTCCAAATTAATATCTTCAATGGTATTTGAACAGATTCCTGGTCCAGAAAGCGTTTTAATGTGAGTAACATTGTTTATGAACACTGTGTTTACAGTTTGGACGTGAAAGCATTTTTCTGGCTTTTTAAAAATTTTAATGTATTTATTTGCGAGGCAGAGGGAAAGAGACAGAGACAGAGCTCCCATCTGCTGGCTTACCCCCCCCCCCCAACACACACACAGCAAAATACGTGCATCAGCTAGGGCTGGGCCGTAACTGCAGCCAGGAGCAAGGAGCTTAATCCTGGTTTCCTCACATAGATGGCAGGAACCCAGTTACTTGAGTCACTGCCCCTCCTCCCAGGGTCTTCATTAGTAGGAAGCTGGAGTCAGGAGTCAGAGCTGGAATCAAACCCAGATACTCCAAGGTGGAACAGGTGGTATAGCTGCTAGGCAAAATGCCTGCTCCCTGAGTTCTTAATTGACTTGACATATTTAAATACAGTTTCCTCCTTTCCCTAAGATACATCTAGGACGGATAGCTTATGAAGTATATTTTGATTACGTAACATCTCTAGCCAAGTTACCTAACCTCTGTAAAGCTTCCATTTCTTCATCTGAAACATGGAGAGAATGTTAGTACCTACTTGAAAGAGCTGACATGAAGATTAAATAAGTTGATTTACGTAGATTGTGCTAAGAAAAAAGTTACATGAATGTTACAAAGTACATGGATGTGTTAATGATATTCTGCATGTATATGTCTATGAAGAGTCACAAATTAATTGAATTCATTTCCAAAACGATATAAGAACAAGACAGCATGGTTACTGAAAATATTTTGTTAAGCTCTTTGATTTGGGAAGACCATATTAGAGTGTGGGATCAGCGCCTGCAGTGCTGGCATCCCATATGGGCACTGGTTCGAGTCCCGGCTGCTCCTCTATAGATCTTTTAAGAACCAATCCAGCTCTCTGCTATGGTCTGGGAAAGTAGTAGAAGATGGCCCAGCGTGGAAGACTGGGAGAAAATTCCTGACTCCTGGCTTCAGATCAGCCATTGCAGCCATATGGGAAGTGAACCAGATAGAAGACTTCTCTTCCTGTTTTTCCCTCTCTCTATCTCTAACTGTTACTCTCAAATAAATAAATCTTTTAAAAAAAAAAAAAAGGAACATATTAGAGTGCTTCTGATTTTGCTAACTCTGTTTTCCCTAGTTTGAAAAAGAAAAACAGCATGATATTCGATCATTCTTTTTACCGAAACGTAAAGAAGGACAGCTGGTGTCCTCCAGTGATGAATCAGGGATACTCCAGGAGAAAAATACGGTAGCAGCGTCGGACCCCAGAGAAAGAGCTGCAAGAGATATCTCTGATTGTGAAAGTCATTTTGAACCTGAAGCTAAAAAATTGAAATTGGTCACCACCAATGACTGTGGCAGTCCCCCGGAGGAGAAGCCAACAGGGTCCAGACAAACCAGAGCTCCACTCATGGAAGGTGTCCACAAGGCCAAGTTCCAGTCAACCGAGACATCCCTTCCTGGAAAAGACTGGCAGTGTGGTTTCTGCACCTATATCAATAATGCAGTGCTACCTTATTGTGAAATGTGCGAGAACCCCAAAGGCAGAGCTGGTGAGTCCTGGGAAGGTGTCCATGGAAGTTGGTCAGATAATCTGTTACCTACTGTTGCCAAAGGTTAGTGTGACTCAGCACTGGCTTTAGCTTTTAAAACAGGAGTAGGAACTTCACATAGTCAAGACTGTGAATTTATCCTTTGTGGAATGTGAAAAACTCCCAGTTCTGTAAAGAATGTATATCCACAAGTGTGTGTGATATGACATTAATTTGGCACAAATGGACATTTCTGATTAATGTCAGCAGGATGTGAATTCAGTGGGCAGGAATAGAAGCTCTGTTGCTATGGCAGCAAATATGCCTTATAGTCAGAGACCTGCTGTTTTCCTTGCTCTGTAGATAATACTTGTTTTTAAGGAAATTATGGATTATTTTTATGTTTAAATAGCAAAATAATTCATTGTGGCTTCTTTACCCAGTCAGTAGAATTGTGCCCTATTTCCTTTTCACTTGGAAAATCATAAAAATTTCTCTATAGATCTTTTAAGAACCAATTTGATGTCTGTTTTGTAAGTTTATTCTTTTCTAAAATATTGTTTTGAGGATCAAAATCATAAACATATCTCAATTATGTTTTTATAGTTTGAGATACCATTTTCTGCTGTTTAGATTCTCAAGTGATTTTTAATACCCCTGGTTGTCATAAGAAAAAGAGCATTAGTGTTTTTTTCCCAATTTTAGAAAGCATTTTTATGGTAATAGAAGATGCCAAGTTAGCAGTTTGGAAAACTAGAAGTACTCCTCTCTTTTTATCAATGGTACTAATTCTTCAAATCAAATTTTGCATCATACATTAATTTGTGAGAATATTGATTTTGACCGAAATTCAACTAAGGTATAAATCATAATATTGCAATTCCTGCCCACCAGCCTTGCTTTTTCTCTTAGTTTTGATCTGAAGGGAAATGTAATCAGGACTAAGGCTTTCCTCTTCCACTTCTGAGTGCTGCTACGAAAATTGACAGGTTCGCCATCTGGATGGTTTTATTTGTAATGTGTGCACCTGTTTTCTATGAACTAGATTATAACCACAAGCTTATTCCATATAACATCTCTGTCACAATTAGCATGATCTCATGCAATTCCCCACTACTACAGAAAAAATAAGATATAACTATAAAATGTGAGTTCCTATTAAACATATCAAGTGATTTAGCAACAAAAATTATAGTTTGATATGGGTTTCATATTTCTGATTTTTCATTTGAATTACCAAGAGCAACAATGATAGTTCCTGAGTCCATGATTATTTAATAAGCAACCTGTCAAGAAACTTAAAAAACAACAACCTTTTGTGAATATAAAACCATCTGATGTGAGAGAAATATCCTAAGTAGCAGCAACATTATTGTATTTAAAAATCATAATTATTAGATTTTTTACTACATTTTGCTTTAATGATTCTAACCTTAATATGGGTATACCCCAAAAGTACTGAAAATCAGAATTAATTTTAATTCATCTAAATTTTTAAATAATGCTTCTCATCTAGCACTTTGAGAAAAAGGTAGAATCTGAAAAATTCAAGGAACAGCATTAGAATGTTAACAGTCTATAAAGGTTGCAAATGTAATCTCTAGACTATTAGAGAAAATTTTATATAGTGTGTTGAATGCTAGTATTTGTCAATATGTAACAATGTGCTTTGTTCTTAATATCTACAGTTTATCCTAAATGTCTAATAACTCATATTGTTCAGCTTAATCTTTCTCAGTTGAATTGCAGATGTATCCCATGGCCTGCGTAACATCTCTCCGTGGATGTCTGGTGGGAACTTCCAGCTTAACATTTCCAAAATAGAATTCTTGATTCATCACCACCACCATATCTAACACCCAATCTTCTCCCTTCCAGTCTTCCCTATATCATGCTAAAAACCTCAGCAGTATCCTTGATTTCTTCCTCACCTCCCACACTAGATCCATCTAACAACTTACAGAATAAATCTTGTTTCCAACTGTTTTTACTTGATGGCTCCCATCCTGCTGAGAAGCCTCCCTCATCTTTCAGACGGACCCCTGGACCCTCCAGATAGTCTCCCTTGTTGTGATCGCTCTGCACTGTAGGCAGGCTGGTCCTTTAGATCATTATTATTCCTTTGACTAAAGCTCTCTAATGTCTTCCATTTCATTTAGAACCTAACTCAAGAATATAGACCCCAGGGCCAGCGTTGTGGCTTTGCGGGTAAGGCTGCTGCCTGCAATGCTGGCATCCCATATGGGCGCCGGTACAAGATCTGGCTGCTCCACTTCTGAACCAGCTTGCTCTATAATTTTAGCTGTCATCAATTGGCTTCTCAATATGGAAGATAAAATGTTAGCTCTTTCCACACCATGCTCCACATACCTTTTTTCCTATTCCAATACATCCATCAAAGTGGTGGATAGTTAGAGTTTTATTGATTTTTATAGCAACATGTACCAGTTTGGGCTTGATCAATATTCACCAGATATCCCTTTAGAACCAAGATTACCATATTTACAGATGAACCAATTGGTATTCTATGAATTTTTTTAAGATCTATTATTTGTTTACTTGAAAGGCACAGTGACAAAGAGAGGCTATATGTCATATGTACCAATATTTCATTTATTTTTTTCTTTCCAAAGATTTATGTCAGAGCTAGTACTGTGGTATAGCAGGTAGCTGCCGCCTGCGGTGCCAGCATTCCGTATGGTTGCTGGTTCGAGTCCTGGCTGCTCCACTTCTGATCCAGCTCTCTGCTATGACCTAGGAAAGCAGTAGAAGATGCTCTAAGTAGTTGGGCCCCTGCACCCACATGGGAGACCCAGAAGTAGCTACTGGCTTCTGGTTTCGAATCGGCCCAGCTGCGGCCTTCTGGGGAGTAAACCAGAGGATGGAAGACTTCTCTGCTTCTGCCTCTCTCTTTCTCTGTAACTCTGCCTTTCAAATAAATAAATAAATAAATCTTAAAAAAAATTTATAGACCCCTGGGTCAAACGTCCTCGATTCATGAAGAGCTCTTAGCTTCAATGAGACGCCTCTGAGAGCTTGGCCTCAGCAACTTGCGCTTATTAATGCCTTCTCAGCACCCCACTTTTCTTACAAAAAGAAACAGTTCTATTTGTTTATTTACATACTTGATTGTCAACTTCTGCCATTTAGAATGGAATCTCCAGCAAACAGGGCCTGACCTGTCCTGCTCCTTGCTGTCTCTCTTGCACCTGGAGTGTATTAGGTAGATAGTAGGTTCTCAATAAATGCTTTGATTAAGTGAACAAATGTTATTAACATTTTTCTTTTTATAAGACCTAGCTGTAACTTTTTTAAAATTTGCTTTAAGTGTAAATTATTCATTTGATTTTAATAATTCTACAACTAGGTAACCTCAACCATATCCAGGATGAAAAGAAAAATGAGAAAGTTGATTGTCAGAAAGACCCACCTGAAGAAGTTCGTGCTAGCTCTGACTGTGGAAACCAAGTCTGTGCTCAGCCAAACCAAGAGTGGTTGACCGAGAGTAAGGAGAAAACTTCCAACCTTGAGGGACCAGAAGGACTCGCACTCCAGCCAGGTAACAGGAAGGCCTGTTTCCATTTTCGGCAACCAAATAAGAAGGTATTTCAAAAAGCTCATGGAAAGTGGAATTAAAAGATAAATTTATTTTGGTGCAAAAGAATTTTGAAATCCAGGCATACAAGGAATCATCAGAAAGCTCCTGGAAAATGCATATTGTAGTTAAAAAATGCATGAATTCAAAAAATTTTTGCACCCAAACTCATCTTTTGATGCCATTTTCTGCAGACATTTTGAAATCCCCTCTTAATGACCATGTATTTTTGAACATAATACTGTTATTAGAATTGCAACCTCTGCCTTGTTTGGGGCCCTTTTTATTCCCATGTGTATTAAAAATACCTACCGTTTGTAACTGCATACTTAGACAGCAGATGGCTGGGAGGGCTGAGTGTGTTGCTGGCATTGAGATGTAATACACAGAGCAGAACTGATAAATAGCTGCATGTGCTGCCACCAGGCCTTTTGCCCAGCCTCAACCAAGCCTCACCCATTCACACAGCAAGGCTGTTGTTTTGATATTTGGGAGGTGCTTTTAGACAAAATAGTCAAGATTGACAAATTATTAATAGTCATGTAACAAATCATTACTCTTTTACACAGTTTTTATTTTTTAAATGGCTATACTTAATTGGCACTTTTTTTAATTCTTGAGAAAAAGTTTTTAAGGAACATAATTTCAAGACATGAATCATGACTGTATTTGGAGCCAACCATGTAGTGTTTCAGATTTATTTACTTTTTGGTTGATTCCACTCATTATTTATAACTGTGGTGGTTAGCAAGTACCAGCCTGTGTGTCGTACATCACTGTCTTTCATGGGCCAGCCTGCAAGACTATGAATAGTTTCTGGTCATTGTCCTTGTTATTCATTAGTGCCCATAGTTACCTATAGCTTGATAGTCTTTTTTTTTCTTAGCTTAACATCTTATTTATTTGTTTTGAGATAACATTTTTAATTTGCATTATAGTCAAAGGCTCTACTAAATAAAGAATTCACCAAACAGAAAGTAATAAAAACAAACCCAAAACTGTTGGGATGAAATTTTTCTTCTGAATTAGTTATTATTAAACAGTGATACAATTTGGCATCAAGCAACTTTAAAATCAGATGTTCACTTGGGGATTTCAAGCCCCAGGCATCCTTCTTGCATCTTCTCTTAGCCTTCTTTCCCTCTGATTCCTCAAGGTCTACCTAAAGAATACCTTGGAGTGGGCCCAGTTCAGGTCTGTTAATTTTCATAGCCTTTACGTAGATAGTATAGACTCCCATGGAGTCTTTGTGACTCCAGTTTTCTTGTTCCAGCTGTGAAAATACCTTTAAGAGCTGATGAAGCTCTGGTTATAGGACACAGTTATAGGCACAGTGAATTCAACATCAGACTGGGAATCAACAGCTGGCTACTGCTATCCACTGGACTATGAGATCTTCATCTATGACAAGGAAATATTAGCTGTTGTCATTTGGTAAAGACATATGTAAGATATTAGCTTGTATTTACAAATACTTTTTAAAAATCATTGAGCTTTTAGAAATTCTGTTGTGCTGGTAATTTTGCATCGGCCTAATTGATTCCAGACAATGGCAACATTTCCCTCATACCTATTCCTGCTTCCATTTTTTTTAAACTTTTCAGCTCATTGAGCTGAGAACTCCACGTGAGATAATGCTTCCCATCTTCCCGCTAATGAGGATTTCCATGAAAAACAAGCAGAAAGAAAACAAAGGAGGTGCTCGATGTTAAATGGTTATTCTGTCTACATTAGCTCTTTTAGAACCAGAGGGAATTGTAGTTTTGTTCTAAGTAGAATTCTAGGAGTCTGGAAAGATGCTTGTATCATCAAAATTTGCACCATTTATAGTTTTGGACCATTAACTTCTACATTATGGAAGCACTGAAAAGAGAGATATGTTCCCCAATGTAGCTGTTAGCTACCTGCAATGATTATTGACTGATTTGGACTTGCTGTTATAATTCTTTTTATCTGAGAATAACTTCTGATCTTTAAGCATTAATCCCTAGTTTTTCAAATCTGAAGACACATTGACAATAGCTGTACTTACTTGAGGTACAATTTAAAAAGGAAGAAAAATAACCTCTGCTAATTAAACCACAATTCAATACCTAAACACGGCCCAGGCCATACCACTCTGTGTGGCTTTGACACTTCTTTCTCCAGTTCTGAAGGATTTGACACTTTCTTTGGGCTTGAGTAGCATTGCACGGCCTGTAATAGGCAACCCTTTTGCACATCTCAGTTACCAAATATAAGACAGCCTCCTCTACTTGCAGGGATCTCCTTTTCTTAGGTCCCATGAAGCATTCAGTGATTCTTCTGCCAGAAGACAAGAAATTTTCATTATTCCTCTAGTGATACATATTTGTGTCTTTATTATCATATTGTGTTCTCCTGCTCTGTATCCAAGTATTTTGTCATACATGATTACTTTTCATTTTAATACCAAATAAATCAGAGTAAAGCAATTTGAAGACATTTTAAAGGTAATTCAGGTCAATACGGATAGTAACAACACTGCATGCACCTCCTGGTAGTGTCATACTCATAACAGTATGGTAGCTGTGCCTAAACTTGAGTGTGCTCAGGCAACGATAGAAACTTCCGCAGTCACCACTTGGCCAGCAATGACTAAATTGCCATTGTTATTATTGACCATAAGACATGCCAGTTTTAGAGGTGTTAAAGTGTAGAGGAAATACATCTTTTAATTCATGAGATATGGAAGTCATCCACAGACTAAGTTTGTAAAGTAGCCAATGCCTTGATTAGAAAAAATACCTTGTTGACATTCCAAGTAAAATGACAAACTTTCAGATCTGACCATATATTTTAAGTCACTGAGGAGCTATGGCAGAGGTTAAGAGAACAGGCTCCAGAGCCATAATACTGGATTTAAATCCTTTTATTATCAGTGTGACCTTGGAAAGCTAATGTGCCCCAATTTCCTTCTGTGTGAAATACATTATTTCTGAAAGGTGTTAATATATTGGCTTAGAATTGTACCTAGCACATTGTATGCCCTCAGTAAATGTTTACTATAATTGTTACTTAGACCTGCTTTGATAAACCTCTCTTGCAGAATATATTGGACAATGGACTGCATAAGGCCTAAACAGAAAGAGAGTTTCAAAAAAGAAATTGTCTGCTCATCTCCTGTTGTGAATGTGAGGCTCCAGGCCACAGGGAATCAGGCAGTTAACTCGCCCTCAGCACAGTTTTATTGTTGCCAATAATCAAAATGGTGCCCATTCAGTCTCACTTAAATCCACTTTAGCAAAAGGGATAGGTTCTAAACTTCAAGAATGATAAATATTCTTGATAGTCAGAAATTGCCCCTTGTGCCTAACTGATGTCCTTCCAGCTAATCGTGAATCTGTTGGTTTCTTCTTTGGTCATTAGCAAAAAAGTCAAGCAACTGGTTACCAAATAAGTCAATATATTGTTAGACAGCCTACCGTGCTACTTTTATTTCAAGTCCAGATACAAACTCTTTGTCAAATATATTGATATTTTTGAAAGCTATTTCACCATTCTAACCTGTAAAAGCTTAAAATAAGCTGTTTTAGATAGAGGGTAGATAAGCATTCACATTTTCCTTTGTCTTCTTTATTAGAGCAATTGAAGAACACAGACACATTGCCAGTATATGATACCTTAATGTTTTGTGCAAGTAGGAATACTGACCGGATCCACCTCTACACTAAGGTAAGCATCATGCTGATTTTGTGTCTTGAAACATTAGGGAAAAAAAATCCTTTTTTATTTTAATAGAGATTTAATTTCCTTTACAATTAGATGGGCATCTAGTTCTTCACCTCTATAGAGCAAATTCTCAAATTCCTATATTAAGTCTAAGGATAAATAAAGGCAAAACAGGACGGTCACTGAGAGCATAGACTTCAGAACCAGGCTGCACCAATTCAAATCTGTTACTGGCTGTGTAATCCTAGACACATTAGTTAAATGCTCTGGGCTTCAGTTTCTTCAGTTGTAAAATGTGGGGAGGATTTGTTGCCTGGATGAAATGAGCTGACTTGTATAGAGCACTGAGCACTGCGCCTGGCCATAATGACTCACAATCGACATTAGCTCCTGCCTTGATCATTTGTAGCCTAAACCTTTACAGGAGCCTAAACCCACCTATCCTCTTGTTGAATAAACTCTAGGAAGTTTTTGTAATACAAAGGGACTTGAAAAAATATACAGAAAAGTTGAATTAAAAGATAAGCTTCAGTGAAAAAAAATTTTTGAAATCTATACATAGTTTTTTCATAATATACATTTATATGAGCTTCCTAAAGACCTCTTATCTTTGTTTCATATATATGAATCATATATAATGAATTTTCTATGTTTATATGAATTATATATTATATGTGAAATATATCTCATATATTTAAAATAAATGTATCTTTTAACTCAAAAAAAATTTCTTTTTTTGAATCTTCCATCTGCTGATTCACTTCCCAAACAACTGCAATATCCAGGGGTTGGCCAAACCAAAGCCAGGAGCTTCTCCCACATTACTGCAGGGGTCCATGCACTCGGGCCATTCTCCACTGCTTTTCCCAGGCACATTCCAGTGCCTATATCAGATGCTGGCATTGCAGGCAGGCTTTACCTGCTACACCACAACACTGACCCCTATTTTTTTCTTATTTCTTTCTGATCTTTCTTAGTTTTTTTAACTTTTTGTTTTTTGTTTTTTAGGTTTTTTTTGAAAGATTTATTTATTTATTTGAAAGGAAGAGTTATATAGAGAGATCTTCCTTAAGAATCATTTGTTAATCCATGTAAAAGTTACAATAACAGGCCGGCACCACGGCTCACTAGGCTAATCCTCCGCCTGTGGCGCCGGCACCCCAGGTTCTAGTCCCAGTTGGGGCGCCGGATTCTGTCCCGGTTGTTCCTCTTCCAGTCCAGCTCTCTGCTGTGGCCCGGGAAGGCAGTGGAGGATGGGCCAAGTGCTTGGGCCCTGCACCCCATGGGAGACCAGGAGAAGCACCTGGCTCCTGGTTTTGGATCAGCACAGCGCCGGCTGTAGTGGCCACTTGGGGGGTGAACCAACAGAAGGAAGACCTTTCTCTCTGTCTCTCTCTCTCACTGTCCACTCTGCCTGTCAAAAAAAAAGAGTTACAATAACAAACCATTGTATATTTATATAAACATGCTTTTATGAAAATAATATTTTATAAAACAAAAACAATTTAATGAGAATGGTGGTATGTTGCATTTTTTAGCAGTTTTCTCTAAAGTCCTAATGGAAAACATACTTTCCTCTGCATTCAGTTTGTTGTGATAATCATGTCATGTAGCTGCTAAAAAAAATGCAAATAATGTCTTACTTTTGTTACCAAAATATTTCTGCCTTTGTGAACCCCCACCCCCCACCCCAAAAGGATCTCAGGGACCATATGACAATCCTTGGCCTCGGTAAACTAATGTATATAAGGAAAAAAGTACAGAGATTAAGTAAAATAATATTTGTCACTTTTAAAGTTATGGTCCATTCTATTGGAAGAATGCCTTTTAAAAGATAAGTTAGTGCTTACAAACTTTCAGTTACTAAACCATATACAGATATAGATAAGTAGTATACCATGTAATGATCTTCAGTTAAGAGGAGATGGCTAGGGAGCCAATGTTGCAGCATAACAATAAAGGCGCTGTCTGCAGTGCCAGCATCTCATATGGGCATTGTTTAGAGTCTCTGCTGCTCCACTTCTGATCAGCTCCGTGCTAATGTGCCTGGGAAAGCAGTGGAAAATGTCTCAAGTACTTGGGACCCTGCATCCATGTGAGAAACCTTGATGGAACTGCTCCTGGCTCCTGGCTTCAGCCTGGCTCAGCCCTGGCCATTGCAGCCATTTGAGGAGAGAACCAGTGGATGGGTAATGTTTCTTTTCTTCTTTTTTTTTTTTTTTTAAGATTTATTTTATTTGAAAGAGTTACAGAGAGAGATAGAGTCAAAGAGAGAGGTCTTCCATCCTCTGGTTCACTCCCCAGATGGCCGCAACGGATGGAGTTGTGCCGATCCAAAGCCAGGAGCCAGGAGCTTCCCCCGGGTCTCCCACGTGGGTGCAGTGGCCCAAGGATTTGGGCCTTCTTCTACTGCTTTCCCAGGCCATAGCAGAGAACTGGATAGGAAGAGGAGCAGCTGGGACTAGAACCAGCGCCCATATAGGATGCCAGCGCTTCAGGCCAGGGCTTTAACCTGCTGTGCCACAGTGCCGGCCCCTGGATAATGTTTCTTCCCCTCTCTCTCTCTCTCTCTCTCTCTCTCTCTGCCTGCCTCTCCTTCTCTCTGTCTGTAACTCTTGCTTTCAAATAAATAAATAAATCTTTAAAATAATAATAATCATAATAATAAGAGGAGATGGCTAGGATGACAACCAAAATCCTCAAGCAGCTTCCAGTATGGGATCACAGTGTAAGACAGAAACAATCAAGCCAGCTGGTAATCAGTGCTCATCCTCTAGACCTGCATGGACCCCAGGTTGTCTTATGGAGCCTGGAGATGTGGTGAGCCAGACTGGGGGAACACCAAGGACGCCTGTGCATCTCCAGGCCTGAGCTACCTCACCTCATAAGCAAGAGCTACAGTCTCTGCTTCTCAGGCCATCACAGGACCAGAAAAGGAGCTTAAATGTGGAGGAGCCAAGAGGAAGATACTAGAAGAGCACTGCAGGAATTTAGAAGGTCTTAAACTCTTTCGACTGTTCGCTCTGGGCAGTGAAAGCTCTGCCTCCTGGTTAATCTGATCAGTGTTTTTCCCCTTGGGGGGAACACAGAGAGAAAACCTGCAGCCTTCCGGTGGGAGCATACATGTGCTTATTGCCAAGACTCACTGCAGCAGACTCACTGGCCCATATTCTGACTCTGCCTCCCAGCCTATGTGGCATGGGCCACTTCACCTGCTTGGCATCTCTGTAATATTCTAAAATGCGTTTTATGGCTATTCTTTTATAACTATATCCCTTTACATACGGTGTTATCATTCTGTGACTGTCATGTTCTAAACATGAGAGCCTGAGCAGATGAAATGTTGGCATGTCTTTTCACAGCTGGAGCAGAGTTGAAATGAAAGCTTTCCCTTTCACCCTAATAGAGCTGAAGTAAAGTCTAGAAATAGAAACTTGGATAGAATTTACTGCCTAAAGGAATACCCCCTAAAAAGAAGAGCAGTAATAGACATTTAGCATTCTGTATAATATTAAAACTCTTCATTTAGCCAAGATCCCAAGTCTAAATCACAATTTAGAAGTATATATTACAACCACATATATATACTTTTTTTTTTTTTTGACAGGCAGAGTGGACAGTGAGAGAGAGAGAGAGAAAGGTCTTCCTTTGCCGTTGGTTCACCCTCCAATGGCCGCCGTGGCTGGCGCACCGTGCTGATCCGATGGCAGGAGCCAGGAGCCAGGTGCTTTTCCTGGTCTCCCATGGGGTGCAGGGCCCAAGCACTTGGGCCATCCTCCACTGCACTCCCTGGCCACAGCAGAGAGCTGGCCTGGAAGAGGGGCAACCGGGACAGAATCCGGCGCCCCAACCGGGACTAGAACTCTGTGTGCCGGCGCCGCTAGGCGGAGGATTAGCCTAGTGAGCCGCGGCGCCGGCCAACTTTTAATCAATGTATAGCAACTTTTTGTGTGGTTTTTGTCCAAAGTGGTTATGAAAAATATCAAGTTTTTTTTTTTTTTGCTAAGAGCATTAGAATGTGATCCAACTATTGTTGATGTAATAGATTTCATATTCTTTTTCCCCTTTATTAAAGAAATAGCCTCTACTCCTGTTTAATTTTCTACACCCTTGTACAGGGTTACTTTTTACTCCTAGATTTCAGGATGTCATGTTGATTGTTGGGACCTGAATGCGGTTCTGCTTCCTCTCCAGGTGGTGCTGTTGGCATTAGTCCTGTGGGACCAACATTGCCGCATTGTGTTGGGGTAGCAAATTTGTCTTCCGTCTCCTTACTTTTTTTGTTCCTGTAACAAAGAAAAGGAATCTCAGCTAGTTTGGGGAGAGCAATTCAGACTATTTCATGATGACCTAGATTGATATAAGATGTATTTTCAAGGATTATAAAGAAGTTTATCTATGAATGTGGGAGTAGTTCTGCTGCTGTTAATTTTGAGAATCTAGTCTTCTTTGGTATTGATTTGCAATGTACAAATTGCATTGGTTTGATGTTTATTTCCAAGACTAGGCAATAGAGAAGAGTATGACAGGGCATCCCAGGCTACAGGCAGAGGCTTGGCCTTGATGTGGGCACTGGAAGAACACAGAGAACGACGGAAAGCATGCTTCCTCTGCTCAGCTCCCAGTACCTCCAGGGAGCCATGTTGGGTGGGCTCTTGTCTAGAATGTGCCACCATGGTTTATCTTTTAAGAAACTGGGCATAGTATGCCATAATATAATTATTTCCTTTTAAAATAGTTACAACAGACAAACTGATTTTCCTAATCTATAATCAGGACAGAAAACCGATGAACTGTAATTTCATCCCTCTGGATATAAAATTAGACCTTTGGGAAGATTTACCAGCAAGTTTTCAGCTGAAACAAAATCGTTCACTGGTAAGAATACTTTTAGTAAAATAGTTTCATTTATTTAAATAAAATTGAGTAATTTTAATGACCATTTTTAGTTTAATAGAAGAACACTTTGTGTTCTGTTGCAGTCACATCACTGCTTGCATTTTCATTAGTCTAGGCAGTGCCTAATAATTACCCCATTGCTAAGAATAAATGTGAAATCTGTTTCCTTGGCAAATGATCACACCTAGAGTTGCTGTTCTGCAGATAGAATCATTCTTACCTCATTTAATTTCTCATTCACAGGATTAGCAACTGTGATATTTGTATTTGACAGAATCACATTTTATCTTTTAGGGCTAAGTTCTAACAGTGACAAATTCAAACAGCAGGGATGATACCATGTTGGGTGACTCCCAACTCATTGTCAGAATCACCAGTGTATAGCTCCAGGCCAAGTGCCTGCAAGGAGGCCTTAATTCTAGTCTATGACTAATTTATCATTACTGTTAAGAAGGATCATCGAGCCGGCGCCGTGGCTCAATAGGCTAATCCTCCACCTAGCGGCGCCGGCACACCGGGTTCTAGTCCCGGTTGGGGCGCCGGATTCTGTCCCGGTTGCCCCTCTTCCAGGCCAGCTCTCTGCTATGGCCAGGGAGTGCAGTGGAGGATGGCCCAGGTGCTTGGGCCCTGCACCCCATGGGAGACCAGGAAAAGCACCTGGCTCCTGGCTCCTGCCAGGATCAGCGCGGTGCGCCGGCTGCAGCGGCGGCCATTGGAGGGTGAACCAACGGCAAAGGAAGACCTTTCTCTCTCTGTCTCTCTCTCTCACTGTCCACTCTGCCTGTCAAAAAAAAAAAAAAAAAAGAAGGATCATCATGTACAGAGATGGACCCAGCATGCAGGGTAACATTTTTTACAAGAAAATAATGATTTTTTTAACCTCTCAAGCTGAAATGAAGTATTGTCCATAGGTCAGCAGCACTCGTGTTAAAGGAAAATGTAGCAGTTAGCTATTTTCTTAAGTATCATCTAATCCTGGCTCTCAGATTCCCAGAAAATAGCCATTTATTTGTAACTGACCAGTAAGTAATGATAAACCTAATAAAAATGTCTCAGATTTACTGCTGGCTTTTTTCCTGTGATAACTTAGGGATCAGATACAAAGCAGTTCTCAGATATGACACTGTCAGTGTATCACCACTGCAGGACTGCTGTCCCCAAGACTAGTTTTGTATTGACTGCTGGTGGAGTGCATGCTTCCTGGCATCCATCGATCTCATCACTACTGGACCCTATGCACATTAAGGGCATACGCTGAGTGTCCTGAAATTTGCCTCTAGAGAATCTTTGGATTGGAAGAGATCTCTTGAAAACTGGCCATAAATAATTTAAAGATATGGGAGCTGCATAAAATTAAAAAAAAAAAAACTTAAGTTGATGAACTCTAAGTTTATTTTGGGGATGTAAGAAACCATCAGTTTTCTCGTGTTGTAAATAGCCTCACTTTCAAAGGAAGATGTCTGGTGAGCTGTTAACTCTTTTTATTCTATCATTTTTTGCCAGATTTTGAGGTTTGTTCGAGAATGGAGTAGTCTAACTGCCATGAAACAAAGGATAATAAGGAAAAATGGGCAGCTGTTCTGTAGCCCAATCCTTGCTTTGGAAGAGATCTCAAAGCAACAAACCAAACAAGATAGTACCAAAAGGTAGGAGTTACCATCTTTTTTTTATTTTGTATTACTTTTCATGGTTATTTCTACAAAGAGTCTAAGTCATCTTAGAACCACTGATGAAATCCTGGTAAGTTAAGAGAGTATTATACATAAAATCATAATAACATAACTAGATATTTAGAATCTGATCAAATTTACTGGAAGAGATCAAGTTTTTCAGATCTTGCTCATCATAAGCCCTGCTCATTGTCAGAGGCTGACCACTGACCAGCCACACCTGGTACAATTATTAACCACAGGAAGACATTTCACTCTTAGAACATCAGAGGAAAGATGGCAGAGTAGGGAGGGAGCTTGCTGCTCAAGTCTAGAAGATAGTTTTAAAAAAGTGCAAAGAGTGCAGTCTCAGGGAAGAGTTAGAGAGAAAACTGCAGAGTAAACATTATATAAATTGGAGGAACGCAGTGTAACTACACGAAGTGGGAGGACAGGCATAACATAGGCCCCAGCAGCTGAGAGCCTCCACACCAGCATTGGAAAGTGAGGTAAAGCCAGACTGCAGCAGCCCAAGCCACTGGCAGAAAAGCTGCAGGAAAAGCCTAAAGGGAATCTAGCTTGGAGTCCCATGGGAATAATGTACATGCCAAACTAAAAGAGAAAAAACAAGGGTGGGGGGCACATTTTCTCTCTCCCTGATCACCCTGCAAAAGCATTCTGTAACAAGCTGATAGAGAGCAGGCGCCATTTTGGACATATGTAACAGCTGTGCCAGTTTGTGTCCATGCCCAGCAACCAGCCAAGCAGAGACTCCTCAGTCCTGTGGGGAGAACAGACATGGGGCTGGGTACTCATAACTGTAGGAGGCTTGTGTGCCAGGACTGAAAACACTAAGGCTGCATGGGAGGACTCAGGATGTGGCTGAGACACTGGGCAGTCACTGTAGGAGGCTCCACATGATCAGGGCTCTGTGGTTACCTGACAAGGGACATTGCTGGGGAATCTAAGCTTACACTGAAGACTGCACAGAGCCTCTGTGTGGTCTTTGTGGCAGAGAAAGCAAATAATATACTCACTGGGGATAGAGAGGAGCTCTGCTGAGTCTATGCCAACAGACAAGATGAAACCTCCCCTCTGATTAAAAAAAAAAAAAAGATTTACCATGCCAAACCTGGGTGTGTCACCTCAGACATGCCCTTTACCTGGAGCACTCATCAGAGCTCCCTGGCCACACCCACCACACACCTCTAGATATTCCCTGAAACTAGACACTCCACTCAGACATAGTCCAAAGATAAAAGCCCCCACAGCAAAAAAAAAAAAAAAAAAAAAGAAGAAGAAGAAGAAGAAGAAGAAGAAACCAACGAGTATCTCCACAAATGCCGAATAACAATTGCACCAATTCAAGAAACAAGCATAAGGAACACAACATGACGCCCCCAAAAGAACACAGCACTTCAGTACTAGATTGTGAAGATGATGAGATTGAAGAAATGCCAGAAATGAAATTCAGAAAATTGATGACATGATTACTTAGAAGTAATCAGAAGCGGCGCTGCGGCTCAATAGGCTAATCCTCCACCTTGTGGCACTGGCACACCAGGTTCTAGTCCCGGTCGGGGCACCGGATTCTGTCCCTGTTGCCCCTCTTCCAAGCCAGCTCTCTGCTGTGGCCTGGTAGTGCAGTGGAGGATGGCCCAAGTGCTTGGGCCCTGCACCCGCATGGGAGACCAGAATAAGCACCTGGCTCCTGGCTCCTGCCTTCGGATAGGCGTGGTGCGCCAGCCACAGCGCGCTGGTGGCGGCAGCCAATGGAGGGTGAACCAACTGCAAAAGGAAGACCTTTCTCTCGCGCGCGCGCTCTCTCTCTCTCTCTTTCTCACTGTCCACTCTACCTGTAAAAAAAAAAAAAAAAGTAATCAGAAGCAAATGCACAAACTAATGAAATCCATACTTGACATGAAAGAAAATTTCTCCCACGAAATTAAAATCTTACAGAGAAATCAAAATGAAATCTTAGAACGAAGAATTCAATGGAACAAATAAAAAATACACTGGAAAGCTTTAATAACAGAATCAGTGAAGCAGAGAAAAGAATATCCAATTAAGAAGACAAATTACAGGAAATTATACAGTCAGATCAAACACAAGAAGAAATTAGAAAACTAAAAAACACTGTTCTATCAAACGACCCAACATAGGGGTTCTAGGAGCTCCTGAAGGTGTCGAAAGAAAGGAATAGAAGGCCCTTTTAGTGAAATAGTAACAGAAAAATTCCCCATTTGGAGAAAGAAAGGGAAATCCAAGTACAGGAAACACATACAACCCCTAATAGACATGACCAGAAAAGATCTTCACCGCAACACATTGTAATCAACTCTCCACAGGAAAACAAGAAGAAAAGATTCTAAAATGTGCACGAGAGAAACACCAGATTACTTTCAGAGGCTCTCCAATTAGATTCACAGTTGATTTCTTATCAGAAACCCTACAAGCTAGGAAAGAATGTAAAGATATAGTCAAAGTCTTAAAAGAAAACAACTGTCAACCCAGAATACTATGCCCTGCAGAGCTCTCAGTAATGAACGAAGGTGAAATAAAGAACTTCCATGACAAACAGAAACTGAGAGATTTGCCACCACCTGTTCAGCCCTGCAGAAGATTCTTAAGGATGTATTGCACACAAAAACACAGAAACATGGTCATAACTACGGAAGAAGATAAAGGAAGGAAATCTCCCAGGAAAAGTAGAAAGAAATCCAAAGTAAAAAATAGGAATATTTATGGAAAAATAGCATGGCAAAGTCATTACTTATCAGTAGTCACCTTGAATGTAAATGGCCTTAACCCTCCAGTTAAAATGCATAGACTGGCTGAATAAATTAAAAAAGAAAACCCATCTATTTGCTGCCTACAAGAAATACATCTCACCAACAAAGACACACGCAGACTGAAAGTGAAAGGATAGAAAGAGATATTCCATGTTAACAGAAACTAAATAAAGGCTGGTGTAGCCATCCTAATGTAAGACAAAACAGACTTTAACAAAAAAACTGTTAAAAGAAACAGAGAAGCACACTATGTAATGATTAAGGGATCAATTCAACAGGAACATGTAACTATTATAAACATATATGCAACTAATTACAGGGCACATGGCTTTTTAAAAGAAATGTTAAGAGATCTAAAGGGAAACACAGAATCAAATACAATAGTAATGGGGAATTGCACTACCACACTTTCAGCAACGGACAAATCAACCAGACAGATAATCAGCAAGGAAACAGCAGAGTTAATCAACACTATAGGGCCGGCGCCGCGGCTCACTAGGCTAATCCTCCGCCTAGCGGCGCCGGCACACCGGGTTCTAGTCCCGGTTGGGGCGCCGGATTCTGTCCCGGTTGCCCCTCTTCCAGGCCAGCCCTCTGCTGTGGCCAGGGAGTGCAGTGGAGGATGGCCCAGGTGCTTGGGCCCTGCACCCCATGGGAGACCAGGAAAAGCACCTGGCTCCTGGCTCCTGCCATCGGATCAGCGCGGTGCGCCGGCCGCAGCACGCCGGCCGCGGCGGCCATTGGAGGGTGAACCAACGGCAAAGGAAGACCTTTCTCTCTGTCTCTCTCTCTCTCACTGTCCACTCTGACTGCCAAAAAAAAAAAAAAAAAAAAAAAAAAAAAAAAAAATCAACACTATAGACCAAATGGACCTAACAGATAATTGCAGAACTTTGCATTCTACATTTATAAAATACACATTCTTCTCAGCAGTACATGGGACCTTCTCTAGGATTAACCACATGCTAGACCATAAAACAAGTCTCAGAAAATTCAAAAAAATCAAAATCATACCATGCATCTTTTCAGACTACAATGGAATGAAGCTGGAAACCAGCAGCTCAGAAATAACTAGAACATATGCAAATGCATGGACACTGAACAGCATGCTCCTGAATGAATAGTGGGTCATTGAAAACATCAAAAGAGAAATTAAAAAATTTCTGAAGACAACAATACAACAAATCAGAAATGACTGGATACAGCAAAAACAGTGATAAGAGGAAAATTTATAGCAATCGGTGCCTAAATCAAGAAATTGGAAAGGCACCAAATAAATGAGCTATCAGTGCATCTCCAGGATCTGGGAAAACAACAGCAAACCAAACCCAAAACTAGTAAGAGAAAAGAAATAATTATAATTAGAGAAGAAATTAACAAAATTGAAACAAAAAAAAAACAATAAAAAAGATCAGCAAAATGAAGAGCTGCTTGTTTTGAAAAAATAAACAAAATTGACACACTATTGGCCCAACTAGCCAAAAAAGGAGAGATAAGACCCAAGTCAATAAAATTAGAGATGAAAAAGGAAATGTAACAATAGACACCAGAGACATAAAAAGAATCATCATAAATTACTACAAAAAACAGTATGCCAACAAAGTGGGATACCTAGAAGAAATTCGTAGATTCCTGGGCACATACAGTCTACCTAAATTGAGCCATGAAGACATAGAAAACCTAAACAGACACATTACCAAGAAAGAAATTGAATCAGTGGTAAAGACCCTCCTTACAAAGAAAAACCCAGGACCATATGGCTTCACTACTGAATTCTAAGTGACATTTAAAGAAGAACTGACTCTTCTTCTCAAGTTATTCAAAACAACTGAAAGAGAGAGAATCCTCCCAAGCTCTTTCTATGAAGCCAGCATCACCTTAATTCCTAAACCTGGAAAATATGCAACAGAGAAAGAGAACTACAGACCAATTTCCCTGTTGAACATAGATGCAAAAATCCTCAACAAAATTCTGGCCAATCGAATCCAACAAGACATAAGATCATTCACCCAAACCAAGTGGGATCTATCCCTAATATTCAAGTATGATTCAACATTCACAAATCAATAAATGTGATACATCACATTAACAAACTGCAGAACAAAAACCATATGATTATCACAACAGAAGCAGAGAAAGCATTTGATAAAACACAACACCCTTTCATGATGAAAATTCTAAGCAAATTGGGTATAGAAGGAATAT